CTCTCCGTTTACCGGTCAGACTACATTCCTACCCTCACCTACGGTCACAAGCTCTGTGTAGTGACCGAAGGAATGAGATTGTGGATACAGGAGGTTGAAATGTTTCCTCTGCAGGGTAGCTGGACTCTCCTTTAGATATGGGGTGAGAAGTTCAGTAATCCGGGAGAGACTCGGAGTAGAACCGCTGCTCTTCCACACCAAGAGGAGCCAATTGAGGTGGTTCGGGCATCTGGTAAGGAAGCTTCCTTGCTAGGGAGGTGTTTCGGGCATGTCCGACTGAGAGAAAATCCCGGGGAAGCCCCAGGATACATCGAAGAGACCATGTCTCTCGGTTGACCTGGGAATGCCTTGGGGTCTTCCCAGAAGAGCTGGAAGAGGTGGTTGTGGAAAGAGATGTCTGGGCCTCCCTGCTCAAGCTGCCGCTCCCACAACCTGACTTCAGAACAAGCAAAAGACAATGTATGTATGTATGTATGTATGGATGGATGGATAGAATGTGTACAACAGGTGAAACAACACAACTTCGCACATGGTCAATCTAAACTGTCTAAGCTCGAGAGTGGCGAGTATAAATCAAGTGTTTCACCTCTGAGCCAACAAAGGAGGTAGTCACAGAGCCAAGCTAGCAAGTATGTGTGGCATGAGGAGCAGTGCTCCAATCTAACCAACAGAGTTGCTGTTACTCACTAGTTCTGCAATGCTGACTTTAGTTAAGCACATTCAACCTGACTCGGCTATCTTGAGTGGTGACTTTAAACAACCACATGTGCCACAAAGTGATGCTCGTTTTAACAACCATATTGCAAAACCACCTCTATCAGATCCACCTGTAACACGCTCCTTCAAGTGTGTCTGACACTTGGCAGCTAACACAAGTAGGGGACTCTGTTCCACTGCATCTCTTGCTCTCATCCTAGTACAAATTGAGATCAGCTCTCCTAAAAGGCAACTTGCATAGATGTGAAAAGACTCAAGAGCATAAAATAGTGCAAGAAGTACAAGATGTATTCATCCAACAGTAGGCTGCAACGCAGGCTTCAAATAGGTAGAGCCAAGGCACATAGAGGGGAGAGGAAATGTGGACCAAAAGAGACCAAAGTCTGAGTGTGAGTGGATAAAAGCAGCAAACAAAAACTAGAAATAAGAAAGGGAGTAAAATATACAACTGGAAAGAGACAGCAGTTCTTGTGTCTTTTTTTTTCTAATCTAGTCCCCTTATCACGTCGACAGCACATCTTCCATTTTCTCTTCAAAGCAATAAACACACACAAAGCACCTGGAAGGTGGGAAATGCACAACAACAAAGAATGACTCTTCAGCACTGCCTGTGTTTTCATTATCGGGTGCGGTGTGAGACGGTTGATGGAGCTGCGGATTATCTGGCACGCTCTGGATGACCGATGCGAACAGCATCTGAAGCATGAAGGACACCGATCATGTCAGCCGAGGCAAAGGCACATTACAACTGAGAGCAGACCTCAAGGACTCCAGTAGATTAAAACTGATTGAAATTCCATTTGTGGCATTTGATGTGTTTTCTCTCGCTCTCTTTCCTTCTCTGTCAGGTCTCTTCCCCTCTCCAGCACCTCCTCCCTGTTTAAAAGTCTCCACGCTGAGAGGAGTCTGCCCCTGAATAAACAAATAAGATTGCGTTTGTGGAGCCAAGTGTCTGAGCACTGCACTGCAACAATATGAAGCTGTGGGGTTCTGTACTATGAACAGCAACGAAAGGTGCGTTTGTGTGCCTGGTATGGATGGAAATCTGTGTGACTGAGATGATGGCAACTGAAATAGATACCCGTTTGTTCCTGAAGGGCCCAAAACAAAATTCAGTCACACTAGCGCACACTTTAAGTAAAATACCCATAGTTGCGCTCTATGGAAATCATTTTAGACGACCAGAAAATGGACAAAACATTTATTGACTATCATAAAGTGTAAAAAGTTGCCATGTAATTTGCGTCATAATAATTAATGTAATGTGGGGTACAATGCACTGATTGAAAGAAGGCGCCGCCTTTTGGACCTTTTTATGTCTGAGTGCAAAAATGTTTATGTCATTTCTCCAACCCATTACTCCACCATTACACCTACAGTAGTGGTGTCAAATACTTTATTTGTACATGTGGATTCTGAAACATGCTTTTAGGTATGTGTCCCCATCAGGAAACACAGTCAGTTCACCTAGCTGTGGATGTGACAACCTGCTAACCAACTGATCCAAGTTCATCATAGATATATGCATACGCCGTGGAAGTCAGAATTAGTAGAAATTAGGTTAACACATTTAATTTTAATCAATATTTCAGATTATGGAGGGACTAAACAGAGATCAGAGAACCAGATAAATCCTTGGTAGGTGAAATCTTATAAGACTGTCCCAGAATTAATGAATGACTGGGCGTGAACTCACTTTCTAAAATACAAATTCAAGCAGAAATCCTGAAATGCACTATATAAGCTTTATTCAGACATCAAGAGAAAGAACAGTTAAGCAATAAATGACAGGATGTAAAACAGATGGACAAAGTCTCATGTTTCAAACATTAAGCCTATTTAAAAGGGTTTAAACTTGCATTCTGACCGATGAACAGTAGGGGGCGACAACAAAAATAAGCTAGTTTTGAAAAAACTAAACGTAAGCTGCAATAAATTAGTGTTACAGTGAATTTTCTTTTACCTCAATACTAATTTATTTATGTTTATTTAGAAAATTATTATCCATTTAACCGTGAAACAAATGCTCAAGAACAATGTTTCAGTCCCGGGCTTTCTTGAGATTGCTTTAGATTGTTTAAACCATCCAAAGAGTTAAACCAAGATCATTCTTCACATACAAAACAATTGATTAAATCTAGGGCAGGGCAATATGGCCAAAACTTTTATCACGATATATTTCTTAATTTCGATCGATAACGATATAATTCCGATATCGATATAAACAATATAAAAGCCTCAGAAAAATTGTACAAAATGTACAAATAAATTAATGTTCACTTTTTGTTTGTATTTAGCCTTCAAAAATTATTGAAATCACCGTCAAATAAACATAAAACTCTCAACTTTGCCAATATTAATAGTTTAAACTTTAAACAACATAACCCTAACCCACGCAGCAAACTGGGTTTCTCTTTTGATACAGCTGGGGGGTGTTGTTTCAGGGACACGTTGGCTCAAACTTTTATTGTGCTTCATCTTCCAACTCTCAGCACATTCTATCGAGTGGAAACGTGGAACAAGTTCGATGTGTTCCCACTGCTTGTTGGAACGACTCTCCGGCACATTTTGCAGCACACTAAAACCTGTGGTTTATCGGATCGTCGATAGCCAAACCACTTCCACACCACCAAATTAGTCTTTCCTCTCTTATCAATTATGTCCTCTGCTTTCTCTTCACTTGTGAAGCTTGTTGAGTCACATTCTGACGGTCATGGGCACTCATGTTGAAGCAAAACTTACAGAGCAATGGAGTTTAGCCTAGCCTAGCCTGCTACCTCTAACGCCTTCTGGACTCGAGCTCTGCGTAACATCTACGTCACCACGCACTTACGTAGTTGTGTCATGGCTTTTTCTGTTCGGGTTGAAACTGAAGCGGCCGCTTCAACTTGAACAGAAAAACAAATGCGTCAGTGAAATGCTGTAATCATATCGAAATATCGAAAATGTGCTTAAATCTCATATCACTGGTTATTGAATAAAAATATAGTGTGATATATATCGATATCGAATTATTGTCCAGCCCTAATTTAACCTATCCAAGTACCTCCATGCATATAAACAACTAATCAATTCAGTACGGTTAACTAATTTACCCACACCATACAGTGGTGTGGAACTGGTATGACTGGGTCAACAGAGCAGTGAGGACACATCCTCAAACCAGAGCTCTAACTGTGAGAGCACAGATGAATACCAGACAAAACAAGACATTCAGAGTTACAGTGCACTGTTGGTGTAGCTCTGTAATAGAGTCGTTTATTCTGCCCTCACCTGAGCGCACAACACCACCCCCCCTTCCACGGTTGGAGGCCACATCATGAAAGAGCGACAGCCTGCCTCCAGGGCACTCAGATAAAATACAGAAGATATCATAAAAATGGTAGTATGCTGTCATCATGGTCGTTTTACCTGTGTTAAGCTTTTTCAAGGAAAAAGGTAACGATAGAAAACCAAAAATGTGCTATAAGCTTCTTTTTTTTTTTTTAATCAGCAGGATAACAATCATTTATAATTGCTTTGACTAATTTTTATTGTGCATTAGAGATAGTGTTATCCTTTAGGTTGTTTTAAACTTAAGAGAATAAATGTATCTAAAAGAATGGATTATTGAACACAGTTGGCTGCTTTTATTTGACTAACTCGTTAATTCAGATGTAAACAAAACTGAACAGCATGAAATCTTGATTAGTTACTGATTTCTTATCATAAAACATCAAGACAGAAACACTTTCTTCTCCTTTCATTCATGCTTTCCTTAAAAAAATCCTAAATGAATAACTTATCAAACAATTGATTTCCTAACCGAGTTGCAATAAAAACACACGAGGATACAGTGAAAAACACAACAACTCTCCCAGTAATGGTGTCACTATCCCAGGAAATATAATCCCATGCGCTGGTGTGGGATTTAAAAACTCCCCTGCAGCAACTTTTTTTTGCAACGACTCAACTGTAAATAGATTTGGTGCAGGTCTTACTGACATAAACCCAGCCTTGTGATCCACTTTGCTCCACGCTGAAGGTTTATCCAGAGCAAACCGCCTCTAAAAACAGCCAAGCCTTCCGGTAGCTGCCCGTTTATGCAGCTGTGGGTTCGTACACTGAATTTCCTCAAAGTGCTTCAAAGCCAACACATGGAGGACAGCAGCCGAGGCCGCCTCAGGAACATCATGTTCATGTCTGAGTCATTTCAGTGAAGCTGCTCGCCGGCTACTCAAACACTAAGAGGCCCCTTAAACAAAGCAAGCAAAGCCAGAATCTACCCCCCCACCCCCACTTACCATCCACACAGGCGGGTCTGGCTCTTGTAGTTCCGGCGATCTGGCCCTTCTTACAGGCGCAGCGGGCCGTCTGCCTGGCGATGGTCCGTCGTGGCTGGCTGCTGTCCCTGTCCAACGTCACAATCTCACATGTCCCGGCTGCCAGCTGGCCTGGAAGAGACACGACAGGACGCGAGGTCAGAAAGACGCAGACAGACAGAACGACTCCGTTAAACACAGAATCGAGCTCAAGATTAAAATAATAAAAAAAAACTCAATCAGCCGGACTCGGTGTCAACGTCAACGCCACAGAGCAGCAGTTCCCATCGTGTTTCTGCATCGATACAAGATAAAAACATCTCACTGTACTGGAAGGTGTTCGTGACCGTTTTAATGGTTAAGAATCCAGAAAATATCACTGGAGGTCAGATTCTCACGTTATCCTTAACGAGGTCATCACTGTTGTCTTTCACTGAAGGAAAATGAACGATTTATTCTTTTAAAGTGACCGTCATCACTTTTACCTCCAGGATTTAAACGTTTAAGATTTACTGCTTGTTCCATTCATCATATGTGTTGGATGGATGGATGAAGGAAATAAAGAAAGAAAGGAGGAAAGAAAAAGGAAATAAAGAAGAATGAAATAAAGAAATGAAGGAAAGAAAGAAGGAAAGAAATATGGAAATAAAGAAATAAACAAAAGAAAGAAAGAAAGAAAGGAAAAAAGAAAAAAGGAAATAAAGAAGGAAATAATGAAATAAAGAAATGAAGGAAAGTAGGAAATAAAGAAATAAATAAAGTAGGAAATAAAGAAGGAAAGAAGGAAGTAAAGAATGAAAGACAAAGGAAATAAAGAAGGAAATAAAGTTAAAAAAGAAGGACAGAAATAAAGAAATAAACGAAAGAAAGAAAGAAAGAAAGAAAGGAAAAAAGAAAAAGGAAATAATGAAATAAAAAAAATTAAGGAAAGAAAGAAGGACAGAAATGTGGAAATAAAGAAATAAATGAAATAAAGAAGGAAAGTAGGAAATAAAGAAAGAAATAAAGTAGGAAATAAAGAAGGAAAGACAAAGGAAATAAAGAAGGAAATAAAGTTAAAAAGAAGGACAGAAGTATGGAAATAAAAAAATAAACAAAATAAAGTAGGAAATAAATGAAATAAAAAAGGAATGTAGGAAATAAAGAATAAAAGGAAAGAAAGAAATAAAGGAAAGAAGGAAATAAAGAAATAAAAAGGAAATAAAGTAGAAAATAAAGAAAGCAATAAAGTAGGAAATAAAGGAATGAAGGAAATAAAAAAAATGAAGAAATAAAGAAGGAAATAACGTAGGAAGTAAAGGAAAGAAAGAAGGAAATAAAAGTAGGATAGAAAGAACGTATAAAGGAAACGAAGGAAAAAAATAAAGACAGACAGGAAGAGCATTTACTTTGTGAGATGAATAAACTCAACAGACACAAAAAACTGCGTCAAAATTTAAGTTGTAGAGAAAAAACAAGTAAATAAAACGAGATTTTGAGTACGGAGATCATCCACGTTTTATCAGTCAGGGACCACAAAGACTAGAGTTGGGGGTTCAAATCCAGTTATTGGATGCATCATAACGTGACCATGGACATACATGGGTCTGGGATTCTTTTGGCTTCTGAGCTGAAGGAGCAAGAACCTGGACAAGAACCACACCATGTGCAAGCTGTGCAGAACCTAACAAACATTTTGGAACCACGAGCAGTGAAATCGTATTAAACGTTTCCAGCTGAAAGAGACCGATCAGCAGCTGGTGGGAGCTGCCTCTGCTAAGCAGAAGACCGTCGGGGCGAGGGAGATGAAGCGAGTTCCAACATCCAACTTTTACTGCAAAACATCTGCTTCACTCATCTCGAACAGAGGCTTTCATGCAGCTGTTTGTTGTATTTACATTTTATTAAAGTCCAAAACCGTTTTGTTTTATACAAGAGCTGCTGAGTCAGCATTCATTCTGTTGTTTTTCTGTTTAGCTTGTCTCAGTATGTTCTCAGCTTAACGTTCAGCTCTGCTTCAGCTTCTTTGTGCAAATTTAAACATTTTGTCAGATTTTTTTTAGCTAATTTCAGCTGTTTTGTGCTCCTTTTAGATTATTTCTGCTAACTACAACATTTTTGTGCTTCGTCTAATTTATTTCTGCTAATTTCTGCTTGTTATGCTCCTTTCAGCTTTTTTCATCTTTTTTTTTAAACCATTTCAGCTACTATATAGCTGTTTTATGCTAATTTAAGCTTTTTCAGCTAATTCCACTTTTTTTTTTGTGTGCTCATTTTAACTTTTTCCAGCCAAATTCAACTAAAATGTGCTCTCTCCACATCATTTTTGCAAATTCAGCTTTCTTCTGTTTTTTTTTTTTAGCTACTTTTCAACTGTTCTTTCCTAATTTCAGCTTTTTTCAGATCATTTCTACTTTTTTTGCTAACTTCTGCTTATTTCAACCTAATGGGGCAAACATGTTCTTTTTGCTTTGGCTAATTTAAACTTGTTCTACCTTTTTAGCAAACTTTTTATAATTTATCTAATTTCAGCTGTTTTCAGATTAATTCAAGTTTTTCTTAGTTATTCCTGCTACTTTCACACTAATGAGCTTCTTTCTGTTAATTTCAGCTTGTTATGATCCTTTAAGCTTTTTTCAGCTTGTTTCAGTTTTTCTGCTATTTCAGATACTATTTAGCTGTTTTATGTGAATTTTAGCTTTATCAGCTAATTGCACATTTTTTAGCTCATTTCAGCTCTACTTCCTTCTCATACGTTAAGCTTCTTTCTGTCTTTTCGGCTATGTTTTAGATTTTTTTTTTTGTGTGTGCTAATTTTAGCTTCTTTTTTAAATTTAGCTAATTTCCTAATTTTTGTGCTCATTTCAGCTCATTTAAACCTAATTCAGCAAACGTGTTCTTTCTGCTTTTTTCTGCTAATTTAGTCTTGTTCTTTCATTTCAGCATGTTCTTTAGCTAAGTTCAGCTGTTTTTCAGCAAGCTCTTCAGCAATAATCATTCACACTGCATTTCTGAGGGAAATGCAATTTATCTAGTTTATATTTAGTTTGAGATATTTTCATTAATTATGATTAACCCTTTCACTTAGTTATTCAAATTGAGTCGACAGTCATTCATTTAGATGAAAGCTGTGTTTTGATAAAAGCTAACATTTTTATTGAATGATTATTACTTTAAATATACTTTAATGTGTTTAATAAAAGATCTTGGAAGTCAACATCTTCTGGGTCATTACCAATACTTTGCTTTAAATGTATCAAGCAGTTTCACCGCCGGAGCAGAGAGATGCATCAAGGTCTTTTTTCCCCCCTCTGTTCTCTTGAATACCAACCAGCCGTGTTCACAGTCAGCTGCATGTGTGGAGACTTTAAAAGACAATCGTAAATAAATTAGAGTTCAATTCCAGCCTCCTAAACACTCACCACAAGCTATTTCCCATAAAGGGCCACACGCAATCAGCACACCTCTTCCAAAGTAATGTAGCCATTAGCCATGAGAGAAACACATGAATACTGATGAAGTTTGTAATTGCTGCCAAGCCCCACCATCTTACTTCATGTATTCAATCAGGTGACCTTTGGTCCCGTAGCTGGGCCCTTGCTGCTCACATATTAACCTTTTGTCTGTGTGTGAAAGCCCTCGGGTGCCATCCTTGGGAGGCTTATCAGGATCTAATTGTGATTGGCAAGAGGATGGAAGCTGTGATTAAATGTGGACTGGAGTCCCGGACACTTGGGTGGCTGGCTTAATGAACTGAGCTGTGAGGGGTCACCCTCGGGGTAATGGGGATCTATCAGGATTCATCCGCAGAGAAGCACCTGCGGGGACCACGACCAAGCTGAGGAACAGACCCAATCAAATAATCAGCTTTTAAAATGGCTTTCGTGGAACGAGTCCATCAAACCTTGGTGGGAAAAACTACTAAAAGCTCTTCTGTTGCAACGAGAATTTTCCAAAGTTCGTCTTCGTGTTTAAAAAGCATCGTTTTAGTGTCTATCGGTCACCCAGCTCACCGATCAGTGAGTTAAAATGAACTTTGTGAGACAATAGTTCAATATATTCCATAACATATCCACAAACGTAGCCTTTTTGTTCTAATTTACCTAAAAATCAACATCTTATGATTGTCCACCATCCAAAAACAAAGAGTGAATGGTCTTCCTGAGACCGACTGTTAACCAAAATATAATTCACTGGTCAAAAAACTTCAATGAAACCTGCAGACAGTAATTATATTTACAGCAACTGAGGGTCAACCCAATTTTACTGTAAATTCACCTTCAAAAATATGAAAATGACCATAAGCCTCTTAATTTTACAGATACTGACCTAAACGTTGGTGTTGTAGCTGACAGTGATCCCCAAGGCCTTTTAGTTGGAAGACAAGTACCATTGACCTATTGATCTATTGACCAGACATTATCTGATGTATTATTTAAACTAACTTGGTATAATATGAGGAAATCTGGAGTGGCAGATGTTAGACTGATCCAGGGCATGTATGAGGACAGCAGGACAGTGGTGAGATGTGCTGTATGAGTGACAGATAGCTTCAAGGTGGAGAAGGGAGTGCATCAAGGATCTGCTCTGAGCCCCTTCTTGTTTGCTCTGGTGATGGACCGACTAACAGATGCGGTCAGGCAAGAATCCCCGTGGACTATGATGTTTGCAGATGACATTGTGATCTGTGGTGAGAACAGGGAACAAGTGGAAGAGAATTTGGAGAGGTGGCGGTATGCACTTGAAAGAAGAGGAATGAAAGTCAGCCGTAGTAAGACAGAGTACATGTGTGTGAGTGAGGGGGAGGCCAGTGGAACAGTGAGGCTACAAGGAGCAGAGGTCACAAAGGTGCAGGACTTCATGGACTTGGGGTCCACTGTCCAGGAAAATGGGGAATGTGGTAAAGAGGTGAAGAAGAGAGTCCAGGAAGTGGATAGAGACAAGTTTCAGGTGTGATTTGTGACAAAAGGGTGTCAGCAAAGGTCAAAGGAAAAGCTTACAAGACAGTTGTGAGACCAGTAATTTTGTATGGTCTGGAGACAGAGACGTGGACAAAAAGACAGGAGACAGAACTGGAAGTAGAAGAAATGAAGATGTTGAGGTTCTCCTTAGGAGTGACAAGGATGGATAAGATTAGGAATGAGATCATCAGA